ATTTATATCATTCTGTGAATGCCGGAGAGCATTCCTTAGCACTGGAACCCATCCTTGGTGGTGTTAAAATGGGCCTCAGCATGATTTTTAAACTCTTGCCAGTTAAAACTAGGCCCCAGCCTGTGAACTGTACCCAGGAACCATTTGGGAGAATGCTGAGAGAGTTTGGATGAAACCACAGCTAAAGAGTGCAGACCTGAACCTTTCTGTGGCAGCTGGCCTAGATTGCAGAGAACGTGCTGGGGAATCCTTAATTTACAGGTACAGGCACTGCTTAGGCTGTGGGTGTTTGCTACTCAAAGAAAAAGATGGCTCAGGTGTCCTGGACTAGGACCTGGTTAGAGCTGATGGCAGGAAGAGCTCAGTCTCACTTAGGGAAAAGTCTGAGCTAGGTCACAGAGTGACCTAGGACACAGGCCAAGAACGCTTGGAAATGTGGGACAGGGAATTTTGTCTGGTCTGAGCCACATCTAGGCCCTGTGTGGGAAGGTAACGGCATTGAGGGACCTGCACAGTCAATCCCTATCAGCTGCCTGACACAGGACCATACTGAGCACTTTAGAAGTCCAGCTGTAATCGTTCCCTGCTTTGGCATTGGGACCCTAGGACTGGGCTCTCTCCTCTCAGTTTAGAGCACAAATCCAGATGGGGGAAGGGGCAGAAAAGAGAAGGAATGCGGCATGCCTTGAACTCTGTTCCACGTAGCTTGTAATACAGTGGCAATGGCCAATGTGCCTGCAAGGTGACGTACCTGCCTGGGAGCTGGCAAGGTGAAGCAGCTACCAGTCTGTACAAACCAGCTGGAAGCAGGCACTGCATCCTTGTAGCCCTGCCACCTGCCAGAGGACATGCCCACACTCATGCACTTTGCAGGAGGGAGCAGGAACCCCATCAGCACGGCAGGGGCAGGATGAGGGGCAGGATGATTTAGCCAGCTTCAGCTAAGTTCCCTGCTTTGATCTGGTGCCAAATGCATAAACAGAGCCAAGGCAAGGTTGGACAGTGTACAAAGGCGTGGACAAGCTCTGTGGATGCTGTGGTGATTTCAGCCATGCTAACACAGAGAATAGCGTCCCCCAGGCCAATGCTGCGTGGCACAGGTACAGCAAAAATGCACTTCCAAGATGAAAGAACTCATCCTGTTAGAAAAAACAACTTCACCCTATGTCTAGGCAACAGGCAAGCTTATGAGGGACAAATCACAGCACCAAGGATGAGTGGCACATGCCATCCTGTGCATACCAGGGGTATTGTGCCCCTTCTTAGCTGCAAACTCTGTCTCAAGCAAGCAAAGGCAGAAACAATGCCACAGCGGCAATCCCATCCTTTTTGAGTTCAGCAGCCGATTCTAGAGCACGTGGCTGAGAAAGCTGCCTGTCATAAAGACACATACCTGAGACACAATACAGTGGGAGGAAGGACACTGCTTGCTGTCATTTGACGTGGCAAGAAATCTGGTTGGAAGCATTCGGAAGATAAACGATACTTTGTGAGCAGACCCTCTTCCCCGCGTGCTGGACTTCAGCTTCCCTTAGCCTGTGAGCCAACAGGCATGTGCATTTACCGGCTGGATTTGCAACTCTGCTGCCACTAGAGTAAAAGGCAGGAAAGGGATGGTGGGGGAAAACAATGGACAGAGAAGTAAAGCTGAAAGACGAGTGAAGGTACAGTGTGTTTCACCTCTGAATGATGCCACATACCCTCTTCTAAGCCATGGGCCTAAAGAACTACTCTCAGGAAACACCTGCTTTTGCTTTAGACTCCAATCCACCTCCTTCTTAAAAAGCTGCCATACCAAAGCAGGCAGGATGATTTGCCTTAAAGCAAGGCATACCAAACTCTCCCCAAAGCATGAAAATGAAGACATCTTGTGGAGCAAGTTTGGGTTGCACTGAGAACTTCATTTGTGTTTAAATTCCAGAGCTTAATGTGTCCATAATATCCACTGTCTGCAAAGAATATAGACTGAACAAGAACTTTCATGACTGTACGTCAAGAAATGCAGCACTGAAATAAGCGGTCTACTCTGCTTTACCTTAGGCACTGTTACATACAGTACATACATACTTTTGGGTAGCTATTTGAGAATGCATTTTCAAAGGTGGTTCAAAAAATTGGTGCTTCCTTGATGCTGCAAGTCAAGACAAATGGGTATTAGTTATGGCTCTGATTTCTAGTAACAGTGAGTTGTAAAACCAGGAATCCATAGATCATATCTGTTCCTTTAAACATCTTGTGCTCTGCTTCACCTGCGTAAGAGGTCCCTAAAGGCCTCTCTTCTTCATTGGAGAGCTTAAGTTGGAGTTGTTTGTAAATAGAGATGGTCTCATGGGTGGCTGTCTTGGCCATCGTGATCATGAAATAGTTGAGTTTAAAATCTTTGGTCATATGAGAAAAACTGTCAGCAGAGCTACTACCCTGGATTTTGGGAGAGCAGACTTTAGGCCACTCAGGGAACTAGTTAGTAAGGTCCCCTGGGAATCTGCTTTTGAGACTATTAGGGTCCATAAATGCTGGTCACTTTTTAAGGGCCTTCTTTCAAGAGCACAGGAGCTCATTCCAATGTGTCTGAAGTCAACCAAGTGAGGCAGAAAGCTGGCTTGGCTGAATAGGGATCTCCTTCTGCAACTTAGGTGGAAAAAGAAAGTGTATGGACTTTGGAAGCAAGGACAGGCTACACAGGAGGACTATAGACATGCTATTCACCATTATAGGGAGAAAATTTGTATGGCCCAAGCTCAGTTGGAGTTGAAGCTGGCCGGTACTATGGTGGATAACAAAAAAGGCTTTTTTAAGTATGTTAACAGCAAAAGGAAGACTAAAGAAAACATTGGTCCGTTACTTGATGAGGTTGGTCACCTCATCCCCAAATAGGGATGAAGATAAAGCAGAGACATTTAATGCTTTCTTCACCTCTGTCTTTAACACTGATGATGGGCCCTGGAATGCCCGGAGCCCTGGGTTGGAGGACCACAACTGGGGGGAGTGATAAGCTCCAAGTTGACTTTGAACTTGTACGGGATTTGCTGCTGCAACTGAATGCACACAAGCCTATGGGGCCCGACAGGATTCATCCCACGGTACTGAAGAGTTGGCCAATGTTATTGCAAGACCTCTCTCAGTTATTTATCATCAGTCTTGGGAATCTGGAGAGGTCCCGGTTGACTGCAAGCTGGCAAATGTTGTCCCAATTTTCAAGAAGGGCAAGAAAGAAGACCCTGGTAATTACAGGCCTGTCAGTTTCACTCTGGTGCCTGGTAAAATTATGGAGAAGATTATTCCGGGAGTTATTGAAAAAGACTTGAAAGACAATGCAGTCATTGGTCAAAGCCAGCATGGGTTCATGAAGTCATGCCTTACCAACTTAATAATCTTTCATGACAAAGTTACCTGCCTAGCGTAGGAAGGGAAGGCAGCAGATGTGGGTTTTCTTGAATTTTAGCAGTTTTTGATTCCTTCTGGACAACGTCCAGCATACAGCTGGACAGGCACACAATACAATGGGTGAACAATGGGCTGATGGGTCAGGCTCAAAGACTTGCAGTAAATGGGGTAACATCTACCTGGTGGCCAGTCACTAGCGGTGTTCCCCAGGGCTCGCTTTTAGTGCCAGTTCTCTTCAAAGCTTTTATCAATGACCTACACGCAGGAGCTGAGTACACACTAAGCTTGCCGACAATACTAAATTAGGAGGAGCCGTTGACTCCCTCAAGGGGACAGAGGCCTTAGAGAGAGATCTTGACAGATTAGCATGCTGGGCATACACCAACCGTCTGAAATTTAGGAAGAACAAATGCCAGATTCTGCACCTGGAATGGTGTAATCCTGGATGTACGTATAGACCGGGGGACAAGAAGCTGGAGTGCAGCCCTGCAGAAAGGGATCTGGGTGTTTTGGTCGACGGTGAGCTCTATGAGTCAACAAAGTGCCCTGGCAGGCAAAAGGGCCGTTATCCTGGGGTGCATTAGGCACAGTGTAGTTAACTGGTCAAAAGAAGTGATGGTCCCACTATACTCAGCATTGGTCCAGCCTCACCTTGAGTACTGTGTGCAGTTTTGGGCTCCACAATGTAAGAAGGATATAAAAATGTGTCCAAAGGAGGGCAACAAAGATGGTGAACGAGGACATGACTTACAAGGAGCAGCTGAGGATACTAGGTTTGTTCAGCTTAGGGCTGACCTCCCTGCTGTCTACAATGTCCCCATGAGGGGAAGCAGAGAGGGAGGTGCTGATGTCTTCTCTTTGGTGTCCAGCAACAGGACACGAGGGAATGGCTTAAAGCTGCATCAGGGGAAGTTCAGATTGGATATAAGGAAAACGGTCTTCACTGAGAGGGTGGTCAAGCTCCCCAGGGAAGTGGTCATGGCCCCAAGCCCTGTCTGTGTGCAAGATGCATTTAGACAATGCTCTTATCCATGGTTTAACTTTTAGGTTGCCCCGTGGGCAGTGAGGAGTTCGACTCGATGATCCTTGTGGGTCCCTTCCAACTCAGGATATTTTACAATTCTATGATTCTGTGAAACCTCTGAGTCCTAAATCTAGTATGGGGCAACCCAGTGAGACAGGGAAAAAGCTAGCCCCTGAAGCAGACAATATTTTGCCTTGGAAACCCAAGCACAGAAGAAAGTTTAGTCAGTGGAGGAAGATTTCTCCTATACTTCTGGCCAGGAAAGCAGGAGGAAAAAAACAAGGTGTAACAATGGAGGTCAGGACATAGTACATACATGCTGCTGTGATATGGAAAAGCAGGTAAACCTATGCTCACCTCTAGCATCTATAGGCAGCTAAGAAACTGGCCCTGGTCACCTGTGCAGCTGTATGAGCATCCACACCTGCTCCTTCTCTCCCCACCCTGTGATTTCTCAGTGAACAGGAGGGCATTTCCCTTGCTCCTTTCCCCACAACATCCCAATTCTGCCTTCAACCAAATAAAAGCTCTGTTCCACCTCCCCCTATGCAAAACAACCTCTTTTTCTGGCACTAAGCACACTTAGACACAGTATAAATTTTGGGGGTTTTAATTTTTACAAATGTTTGAAAGAATCACTGAGCAGACAGTGACACAAATAGATACTCCAGCAGTGACAGGCACCCAATGAATGACATTTTCCTGAATTCAGTCCCAGGTTCTCTTGGGATCAAGAGTGAAAGAGAAACAAAATTTACTGGAAAAAAAGCCTGGTGCTGATGGCAGCAGAACTCCCTTGCTTGGCCAAAAAAAAAATATTCTGATTTCACCCTACGGAAATCTAAAAATTAATGAAGATTAGAGGTGAATTACTATTCCACATGGGTCAATACCAGTAAGCACCCTTGCCCCCTCCCCAAATTTAACTGGTGGGGTGAGAAAGGGATTACAGCTGCCTAGTGGCAGAGCCCAATCCCATAACTGGATCACCACAGATGGAGCAGGGGCACGGGAACCAAATCTGGTTACTGGATTAGCAGCTTCAAAGTGAGGGCAAACAATGCTAGTGGAGGGAGTTCAAAGCTCCTCACTCGTATCTTCTGCTGGTCAGCGCCGGTGGTTCTAGGAGGCTTTAGTTTCTTTCATTTCTTCCCTTGTTTGAGTAGGAGACTGTCACTGAAAGGGAGACAGAAATGAGTCACTAGTCCAGAAAGCACAAGCAAAGCTGAACCAGACCCTCACTACAGACTTGGGGGTGGGGGGTGTGACACCCAAAGGATCTGGACTTCAAGTCCTTCCTACTAGGTACTTTTTTCAAAGTCCCTTAAGCCTTCTGGGATGAATAAGACAGAATCTGGTCAGAGTAAGGAAGAAGGATCTTACAATCAGAGATCCCACAGAAAAGAAACCAGCTCTGGCTTCCTTTCTTGATTCTAAGAAATCTAAGCTTTTAGCTGCACGCTATCAGCTCAGCTGGCACTGCCTTGTCCAGTAAACACTGGACAGATTAGGCAAAGCCACCAAACTCCTGCCAGCTCTGAAAGCAGGGGTTTTCTAGCATGGCCTGGAAAGCTTTTGGAGAGTAACAACAACATCCTTCCTAGAGATCGTTACCCCAAACCAACACAAATTCCTACGATCATCTAACTGCCTTCTCACAGTCCCCTTTGTCGTAAATGCAGGATGCCCTGTATGCGCAGGACAGATCAGAGGACGCTCCTCAGTTACTCCTGCCTTCCCCACGCAAGGTTCCTTATGGGACACACACAAAGCTCCAATTAGAGTATCTCCTACTTGATGTAGATGTTTGTGTGGCCTCTGCAAGGAAGGCTTTGAGCTTCACATCACAAATGGGAACTGAGGCAGAGACGGAATAAACTTCCTGTGGCCAGAAAGGCCCAAGCCAGAAACATCCCAGGCACCAGGCAAACATCAACACCCTTGTTGCAAGTACTAACAAAAGCATCAAAATAAACAGTGCCTTACCTTCCTCTGTGTGTCAGGAGATGCAGTTAAGGGGCGGAAAAAAAGGAAGAAAACCAAGAGTAAATTGATTAGATTTAACAAAAATGTCAGTTTCCACAGTAAGACAGACTGCTCCCTACTTGGCCGTGTCCTCTGGCATCAGGCTCCTCTCAGAAAAAAGATCCTGAGAGTGCTCCAGAAAGGGGACCAGCTTCACAGGTAGGGTGCAAATAAATCCAGCCATCTGGCCCCTTTACCTGGTGAAGCCCTCATCCTGCAGGTTCAGTACCAAGTTATCTGCTGTGAGATACACACGGTTTTGTGAGCCAGCAATCTGAAAAAGAAATCCATTACAGAGATGGCATAATGCACACAGAGGAACAGCACTAATAAAGAACCTATCTCCCCCTCCAGATACAGCACTCTTGTTTTATTCCCTTAAGATCTTGGTTAAATCTATGCAATTCCCCAAAACAACTCTGTAACTTCCTGACTTCCCATGCCAGTGCCATCAGACTTTCTAAAAGAAGTGCTCATTCTGTCTCCCTGTCAGACAAACCTTTGATCCCACGCTTATCTGTTCCCTTTTCTCAGCCTGCAGGAAACCAGGAGCTTTTGGTGGCTGCAGCTGAGTGTGGGTGATGGAATCTGATGTGGATCTGGCCTTGCCATATGGAGGGCATGAACTCTTAGCCTCACATCTAATTGCCGATCATTGCAAGCTAAATCTTAAGCTCTACTTGAACAGAGGAGGGCCGGGCAGGAACAAAGACCAGGACAGGGCAGGTCACATTCGCCTTAAATTCATCATGTGGCCACTGGGCTGGGAGGACAGCACAAGGACTGCAGAAGGACGAAGGAAATTCTGTGCCTCATTGCTCACCGTTTTTGAGATGTTTTGAGCAGCTCGGATCTTACGTAGCTTGATGTAGCCTGGATTCCTGCTGAGAGCTTCACCGAGGTACAGGGGAGCAAAAGTTAAGGAAAAACCTGCTAACAGCAGCTGCCGACCCTCAAGGAATTCTTCCCAAGCCATACCGTCAAATATCTTAGCAATCTCTATCCCAATAACTTGGGCCTTTGGGCAGGCATATTTTTACTTCCCCAAATGAAGAACAACATTATGGATTGTGGTCACACACAGCCAATAAAAGTTAAACCTTACAACAGGGAGCGAAGGCTCATGGCCTTCTCTGCTCTGACCTGTAACCTCACTCCACAACTGTAAAGGGGGGGAAAAAAAAAAAAAGACAGTGACCTACTTGAAGCTATCATCTGATAACAGTCTCCTAAGCGTGAGCCCAATGTGACAGATTCTTGGGACTGTCAAGCTCACAAGCCACATCCCACAAAATCTCCCAAAGCAGGATATCATCTTGGCAGCTGTAGCTTCCCCTTCAGCCTGAACAATCTTCTGCTTCTGCTCCTGCTTGGCCTTCTCCACGAGAAACTGCGCGCGCTGTGCCTCCTGCTGGGCTGCAGAGAGAATGGCCAAAAGCATTCAAAGCAGATCCCATTTTCTGAGCCCTCCACCAGAACCCTACAGCTGAGGCCTGGGGGCTCCACTTCCGAAAGAACCGATAGCATTCTGGGGCCATATCCACAAATAAGCAATGTATCTAAGTGTACTTTACTTTTTCTTAAATAAAATCAACAGCATCCAGACCCTCTAAACATAACCCCCATAGTAAGTGATAAGAGTCCCAGCCTGAAGAGGAACCCTACAGTCTTGGGAGCTCAGTCCCACTGATGGTCTATCCCATTAGCTATGACCCAAAGTTTTCCGATAATACCGGTGAAATAACCTGTTTAGCTCCATTACTAAGGAGTCTGAGATTTATAACTCTGTAGCTGTATCAATGCAAAAGCAATGACACGCTAGCGCAAATCCTCCTTCCTTGTTTAATAATTCAATGGAAAGGCAAAGGCAATCCACCCTTTCCAGGCATAAATTGAACTCACCCACTTGCTTAGCCTCCACAGCTGCTGTGTATTCACGACTGAAACTAAGCTCCGTGATAGCCACATCATCCAGGATGAGGCTGAAATCCTTGGCTCTCTCAGTCAGTTCTCGCCTAATGAGCAGAGACACCTGAAACACAAATATAGCAAAAAGAGTACCAAACACAGGCTGTTTCTCACTTCCTGTGCACTCCAAAAGTGAAGCACAACTGCTCTTCACAGTTCATTCACATCGGGCCCAAGAGAGACATTACCTAAAATAAAGCCTGAACCATGGGCATCAATACCACCTCTGAATCTGTTGCCTCTAAATAATGCTGCATATCCATAGCTACATACCGCATTTTCAGAAGTATATTACAGCTCATTTACAGTTATTACTTAACTATACTATACAATTAATAGTGCAAAAATAAAAAAAACCTTCTTGAAAGTTTTTTTGCTTTCACATCCTATCACATCTAGTTCCACAGTTCCTACACATGTTTTGGCAATAAGTATTTCCTTCTCCATCTTGAATTTGCCACTGTGTGCAGTTTGACCGTCTCCTCGTTATTTGTATTCAGATTAAGAAAATAAAAATTACCACTCCCCACTCCTACACTGTAGACGTATCACGTCTCTTAATTACTGTAGCTACTCGTCTACTGTGGCTACTCCACTTTTTTTAGTCTCTTTGGATCA